ACCCCAGACAGTATTCAAGGCTCAAGTGGGTTGAGAGCGGGCGAGCACCACCCTTCCAGACAGTGAGGCCTGCTGTTGTGGGCACCCCCACAGCTTTACCTATTGTCCTTAGTTCTTGGTTTTACAGCCTTCTTGGTGAGAAACTCCTGTGACTTGAAGGTGCCTGAGCACCCTGAACCCCAGTGCCAGCACACCAGAGGGGCGTTCGGTTATTCCCCTGCCACTGTAAGGAAAGTTAGGAGTTGCTGTAGGACCAGAAGAGTCCCCGGTAAGCGACTGCTCTGGTGCTAGGTGGCCGAGGTGCTCTCCACAGCGTCCCCTGCCCTGCCCTTGCGTCGTGGTGTCTGAAGCAGCTGCGCTTCTGCCCTGCAGCAAGAGGCAGGTGGCTCCTAGGACTGATGCTGATGGCTGCAGCCTACCAGTCCCCTGAGAAGCAGGGCACCAGCCTGACCTGGGGCCAAACTTTGCTCTCAGGGCTCGGGCAGGATGTGCTCGTCAGAGGTGCCTTCCTAACACAGGCCTGTCCACAGCCCACTTCTCCCTTCCTCGCACCTCAGTTTCCTCATCTATAACATGATGAATTTAAACTAATCATTTAAAAAATGTTTTAGCAGCAGAACTATTTTTTTAGGTGTCTACACCAAAGTCCAATATAACATAAATTTACAACATAAATTTCTAAATTTTATTATTTCAGATGTATAAGATGTACTTAATAAGATGTACTTATTATGCAGTGAAATGCTCTGAAACTTTGAATAGGACAGTTGCTTATTTACAACAACCTCTGCTTCCAATTGTTTATCTTAATTTTTTTTTTTTTTTGGTGGGGGGGGTGTTGTACAATATTAGAAAATCAGGAAAAGCCTGATTACAGAGTTAGTAGCTGGAGTAACTAATAGGATTTTTGGGGTGTGTGTGTGTTTAAGCTAACCTTGCAACCTCAGAATACTGAAAGGAATAGAAGAGTTTGTTTTTGTTGTTTCAGAAATGAATCATTAACAATATAGGGGATGAACTATGTGTAATCTCCAAAACCCCACAATTCTGGCCTACAAAAAGAGCAAATTCATCTAATTCAGTCAAATGAGAATAGCTAACATTTACTTACTGGGAGCATGATGTCGTTTAGTCTACACACAACTCCCCCTGGCACAGATAAGGGCCCTGAAACAAGGGTGTTGTCCGAGGCTGCCCAGGTGAACAGGGCTCCCAGGCGCACCCCCGCCCAGCGCCCCAGTTGCTGGAACCCCAGTCTGCGTCCGCCCGCCCGCGGGGAGGGGAAGAATCCAGCCTCTGTGCCCAACGGCGCCTGCCGGCTCAGGAGCTGTTTGTTTTCTTAACGGGGTTAACCAAACCTCTGGAGCAGCAGAAGTCGAGCCCGAGTCCGTGAAAGGGGCTTTGTGTGCGGAGCGATCCAGCCCACCTGCACGCCGGCGACCAGGCAGCCCGGAGAGCGGGTCGGGTCGGAAGAACACCTCCGCCCCCAGCCCTTGCCCTCTGCTCGGTCTTTGATCTTCATCCCCAGGCTCTATGTCTGGACAGCAGGGTGAGAGTGCACCCCCTCCCTGGCGGGGCTGGTGTGAGCTGTAACAGGCAGGCGTTTCCAACATGGCCCCCAACCGGGAGCATCAAATTCACCAGCGACCTTGTGGAAAACTCACGGGATCAGACTGCCTGCCAGGCCTACACATTCAGAGAACCCCAGTCAGGGCCCTATAACCTGAGTCTGACACTTAGCTCAGTGTTCATACAGGGAGCCAGCCAACACTTATACAGGAAACAAACTCTTCCTTTGACAGTAATAACTGCTCTGGAGTGTACATCATGTCAGGTGTTCCTCTTTACAGGAAAATAGTCTCTGGACGTTGTTTTATCTCCCCAAAGACATAAATGTCTCCAGATCCAGGATCTTGTTTTTCTTCTTTTGAATCTTTATATTCACGTATGAATGAAATGCCATAAAGTAAGGAGCTGCGGCTTCCCAGGTGGCACCAGTGGTAAAGAACCCGCCTGCCACTGCAGGAGACACAAGAGATGCTGGTTTGATCCCTGGGTGGGGAAGATCCTTGGAGGAGGGCATGGCAACCCACTCCAGTATTTTTGCCTAGAGAATCCCATGGACAGAGAGCCTGGCGGGCTACAGTCCATAGGGTCGCACAGAGTCAGACTAGACTAAAGCAACTTAGCATGCAAAAAGAGCTGCAGATGTCCTACAAGAAATTTCACATCAGGTGCATCAAATCTCCTTTAACTGGGAATGAAAATCCATTGACTTGAGACTTCTCAGGAACACCTGAAAATTGAACAAATGAATAAGGTGGATAACCGTCTGCAGAGAGAGAGTAAGAGACAGAGAGCTAGGGGTCTGCCTCTGCAGGTGGAAAGAGGATTCCTGTTGTCTCTCCGCAGGCCCTCCTGTAACCCTTCAGCAACGCTGCTCCCTTCCCGCCTCTTTCCCAGGCCTCCCCCTGTTCCCAGGCTTTCCCCAACAACCCCCCCACCCACCATTCATTCATATAGTCTTTCAAGCAACAAATATTTCTTCTGGCTGTCTACTACATGCTTGGACCACGGTGGTAAACTGCTGGCAAGAGACCATGTCCCTGAGCTGCTGGTACTGAGTCTGGATGCTGAATTGGGGACACCAGGGAGAAACACAATTTAAAAAAAACAGTAGGGCTTCGCTGGTAGCTCAGCTGATGTAGAATCCACCAGCAATGCAGGAGACCCCAGTTCAATTCCTGGGTCAGGAAGATTTCCTGAAGAAAGGACAGGCTGCCCACTCCAGTATTCTTGGGCTTCCCTGGTGGCTCAGATGGTAAAGAATCTGCCTGCAATGTGGGAGACCTGGGTTTGATCCCTGGGTTGTGAAGATCCCCTGGAGGATGGCATGGCAACCCACTCCGGTATTCTCGCCTGGAGAATCCCATGGACAGAGGAGCCTGGTGGGCTACAGTTGCAGAGTTGGACACGGCTGAGTGACTCAGCACAGCACAGCAGTAATAATGGAGTAAGTGCAGAGACAGAGTGTTATAATACGGTGGTAAGGAAGAAAGGCATCTTTGAAAAGGTGAGTTTTAGGCTAAGGATTGGAAGCTCTAGGCGAAGCCCACCAGGTGAAGAGTCAGAAAAGGGTGTTACATGGAGGTGAAATAGTGAGTATAAATGACCTGAGGCAGAAAGAGCTTGTTAGGTTTGACAACTGGAAGAAGGTCACTGGGGCTGGAGCCCCATGTCAGAGAGGGGAGGAGAGAAAATGAGATACGGAGGCTGGGCCAGGTCATTTAGAGCTCTGGAGATCGGGGTTAGGGGGAAAGGGGGGTTTTGTTTTAAGCACAATGCAAAGCCTTTGGACAGTGTTAAGCAGAAGCCTTGATAGTCAGTGCTGCTAGGTATAGAGTGGACTTTGTATGAAGGAGAGCAGTGAGAAAGAAAGGTGAGGTCCATTAGAAGATGTAGAAGATGTGGCAGCAATCTGGGTGGTAGGAATAGAAGGCAGACCTTCCTTAGAATGGGTGACCAAGAAGTTTAGAGGTCTGAGCATCCCCGGAGAGGAGTAGAAGTGCAGGGTCCCTGACTTCTAGTGGAGGGGCCCTAGAGAGCAAGGGAGGAAATGAAATCCCAGCACTTCTCCTCATGTTGGGTCATTTCCCTTCCAGGAAGTTTCAGCTTCCTGATTGTGGCACCCTTGTGAGACGGAATTTGGGAGGAAATGATATAGGACATGGTATTGATAAGACCTGCTTGTCCCCATAGGGGGTCCTCCTCTCAGCCTCTCTGGGGGCAGAGCTGGGAATGGGAGTAGGGGGTTTCTGCTCCAGCACTGCAGCACCTCTGCACTAAGAAGGGAGGGAGTGACCCCATGGTCCCCCAACCCCAACTGCAAAGACATGTACTCTGCTTGCTGCACCTTCCCACCATGAAGACTTCTGCTAGGTATGAGTTCTTGGAAGAAGGGGCCTCCCCTTCCTCCATTGCCCCCAAGACTTTCTGGGGAGAAGTCAGTGGTATGAAGGCTTGTGCTGAATGGGACAGTTCCCTTATGGGGGTGGGGAGGAGCGCTGAGAGCTGGGAGCAGAAGCCCCTACTAGCACTGGTGAGAGAGTTCTGGATTAAATCCTGCCACAGACCCGAAAAGATTCTTCCAGAAGAATGGGCAAGAGCAGTGTAGTGCCACCGTCCACAGTCCTCTTCCCTATCCATCGTCCTGTACATCAGCACTACCCACCTATGTCTCCAGGATGAGCTCACAAACTGCCATTTTCTCAAAATCTACTCTGCTGAGGGTTTAGCAGGGATCCTCTCACTCAACATTCCAACACTCTCCCGAGGGAGGCATATTATCCCAGTTTTGCAAATGAGCACAGAGATAAACAGTTGGGGATACCCATGCTGTCTGACTTCTAAAGCAGAGCCTTTGTCCCTGCACTGCCTCTCCCCAATCTGATGCAGGTTTGGGCTGAAAGATGATTGAAATGGAGGAATGGATTTGAAAATCTAGTGAATGGTGGGGCCTGTGAATGCTGGGGGAGAGGGATAATCAAAGCCAGCGTGCGTAGAGGTGGAAGTAAGGAGACGGAGGTGCAACCTGGTCCCGGGGAAGGGAGTGAGGAATGCAAGGGACGTCCATGGTTGGTCTGGGCCCAGCCTCCCTGCTTGCCCAGCATCCATAGGTGCTTACAATCCTCTAGGCGTTCAAACAAGAGCAGGTGAAATTGAGCTAGCCCGCACTCCTGGCAATCACTGGGCACTCGATGAATGTGGACACGTTGACAAACATGCCTCTCTGCTGAAAGGTCCCCACGCACTGCCGCCCCACTAGGCTCGAAGGGCCGCGCCCGCTTCCCGCCGCCGGGGGTCCAGCGTAATCGGCCCCTTGCAGGACCCGGCGGCGCGCGGGAACGCCCGGGGCGGGGCCTGCAGGCTCGAGGAGGCGGGGTCGGACCGCAGGGGTCTAGGGTCCGCTTTCCGAGAGTTCGGCTGCGAGCGGCGCGCGGATGCTGGAAGTTCACATCCCGTCGGTGGGGCCCGAGGCCGAGGGCACCCGGCAGAACCCCGAGAAAGGCCACATGGTGAGCCGGGGCAGTGGATGGGAAGGGGCGCGGGGACCCACCGCATCTCCCCGCGCCGAATGCACTGGGGATCCCGCACTCGGGGCTCGGGCCCCCGAGCGCGGCGGCCCAGGCGACCGGGGGACACCCTGTCGAGGGTCTCTGGGCCGCTGGGGTCTGCTTGCCCTGCCGACGGCGGTCCCGGTCCTGAGGGACTGCACCGGGCAGAGTCCCCAAGTGTGCGGGAGTGCGGAGGGTCCCTGGAGAGCCGCGGAGCTCCCAGGCCGCTTTGTGCTTCTGTGGGCGGACGGTGGGCCGGGGGCGTCGCCGGGAGCCGGTCTGGCGGCGCCCTTGCGCCGGGTCTCACGCGCCCCCGGCTGCCCGCCGGCGCCCGCCAGGTGTTCCGAGTGGAGGTGCTGTACCGCGGGCGCAGACACGTCGTGCAGAGGCGCTACAGCGAGTTCCACGCGCTCCACAAGCGGGTAAGGCTGCGCCCACCACCGACCCACGGACCCCGGCCCGGCTCCTGCCCAGCCCCCGCCCAGCCCCCGGAGGTCTCTGCCACCCCCATTACCTCCCCAGGCCCAGGAGAGCTCAGGTCTTGGACACAGACGTCCCCGCGGGCTGCGGAAAGGGCGCAAAGTTGGGCCGGTCCCAGACTCTGCTCTTCGCGCCTCTGGGCAGCGGGTCTGGCGTCCTGGCTCTTGGGGGCGGAGGCGGGTAGTTGGGGGCGCCTCTCGCCCTTGTCCCAACCACCACTCACCACGCGGGTGTGTCTCAGGGTAGAGCCTGAAGTTCGGGGGTGGTGGCGGCGGGGAGGACTGGGGAGGGCTCTTGGCTGGGATGAAGCGAGCTTGAGAGGGCTCCACCCGGATGCTGTGATCGCACGGCGGTAACCTCCTGGCAGATCAAGAAACTGTACAAAGTGCCCGACTTCCCCTCGAAACGCCTGCCCAACTGGAGGACCCGAAGGTTGGAGCAGCGGCGGCAGGGCTTGGAAGCCTATATCCAGGTTTGCGTGGGTCTCCGTCTATTGCCCCTCAGTCGACAGGACCAGAGTCGGGGGACCCAAGCAGAGAGGTGTGGGGACATGGGGTGAGGGGGACCCATATTTATTGGCCGATACTTTAAGGCTCAATTTTCCAAACAGTAAGGGGCTTCTCCTGATGGCTCTGTGGTAAGGAATCTACCAGCAGTGCAGGAGATACAGGTTCGAACTCTGGGTTGGGAAGGTTCCCCTGAGAAAGGAATAGCTACTCACCCCAGTATTCTTGCCTGGAGAATGCCATGAACAGAGGAGCCTAGCAGGCTACAGTCTATAGTGTCACAAAGTCGGACATGACTAAAGTGACTTAGCACTCACGCACAATGGGTCTAAACATCCCTCTCTGAATTGGTAGGATTGAGTGAGGGGGTCAGCAGACAGGTGATCCCAGTAAGATGAAGGCTTGTTCTCTTTTCCTCCAGAGTGAGATCCTGTGCTGCCCTCATGATAAGGGTGGAGGCCCTTCCCCACTCTCCCACACAGTTATGCCCATTACAGTCCAGGCTTCTTGGGCCAATCTGTGTAGTCACCTGGGGCTAGTGCTCAGGAGGGCTCTAGCTTTGTTTCATGCTCTGCTCTGACCGTCTTGAACTTCTTTATCAGAAGGGCCCCAGGTTTTCATTTTGCACCAGGCTCTGCATATGGCTCAGTCTGATTACAGGTTTTCTCTGTTCTCTTCTCCAGGGCATCCTATACTTGAACCAGGATGTGCCCAAGGAACTACTGGAATTCCTGAGTCTTCGGCACTGGTCCACAGACCCCAAGGCCAGCAACTGGGGGTGAGCATCCATCCCTACAGGGGCTTGGCATGGGAGGGGCCCCAGGGCTGGGGGGATGGGGGCTCTCTGCAGCCAGCAGGTGAGGAGGCCAAGCCTCTTTCCTTCTCATATCTACCAGGCCATAGCCTGGTCCTTCCTCTTTGAGACATGATCTCCTTGGTCATTTTCTTGACCCAGTGGAGGGGCTGTTTTCTGGGCACCTTCGTTACCCTTACTGCCTCCGGAACTGAGCCTGTTACCAATAGAAGCAGCAGTCCCCTGGGAGGTAAAAGTCGGCTTCCGCATCTCCACCCTTGCCTCAGGCTCCCCCAGGCGGCTCACAGCCACTCTCTTCAGCTCCCTGGGGGAGTGCCTGCCTGCCTGCCGACAGCAGGCAAGTCCAATTCTCCATCTGCCCTGGGCTCCTGCTGCCCCCTCATGGCCATGTGCTAGGGACTCACGCCTCCGGCCTGTCCCTATGGTCCAAGTTTTCACCTTGATGCCTCCTGATACCATTGCCCACTTTTCCCCTGCGGGTCCTTGGCGATATCAGTTCCTGGTCTCCATCCAACCCGAGACTTTTTCTCTGCCTCCGCCTTCACTGTTCATGACCCCTTTTCTTCTTAGCTCGCAGCTGTACCACCGGCCTGTCGTCAGCTTCCCCATGGATCCTTACATTTGCATCCCATCCCCAGGTGAGATGTTTCCTCTTGACTTATAATCCACATTTAGGGCCCAGGTAGCAGGGTGGGAGCGAGGGTGAACTTGGTATCTCTCAGCTTTCAGGACCACCGGGCAGCATCTCCCTCCTACTGCCCTTCTTTGGGGCCACACCTCCCTGCTGCCCTGTAGTCTTTGTATTCTCCAGGGAACAGACATGGTGAAACGAGCTTGGCTTCCCTGCTCTCCGCTCCTCACCAGCCTGACTTTACCATAGATGTGAACAGAAAGTGAACTGGAAATGCCAAGGCCTCATTTGGGGTAGCCAACTGCTACCTGCTGCCTTGGCATGGGCTCCTCCTGTTCCCCAGAGTGGGGGGCGGGGTGGTGGCAGTGATGGGGGGAGGTGCCTATGGGCAGGAACTCAGGGAGCTGCAGGCCACCCCACACCTCTTGCCTGGTGGCCCCTACCCCTTCCTCCTGTTTCCCTTCTGCCCTAGAACCTCTGCCCAATATGGTGGTGCTCGGCGTGCTTCAGGGCCTCTATGGCTTCAGTGCCAGCACAGCTGAAGCCCAGCTGGAGGCCGCCTGTCACCCTGCTCCAATGCCACCGACGCCCTGACCAGCGCAGAGGCTTTTAGGCCACCTGCCAGAACAGTCATGTGCCTCAGTCCTCAAGCTGGGTCACCCTTGGCCTGGATCCAGGACTCGCCAATCTCCACCCCTCTGGGCTCAGAACTCAGCTGCACTGGTATCTGAGGTAGTGGAATCCTATAACTTAGGGCCAGAGCAGGAACAGAGAGTTGGAAATCAAGGGAGAATTCCTTTATAATTTTCATAGCCCACCAATCTGCCTGCACTGCAGGAGACTCAGGTTTGGGAAGATCCCCTGGAAAAGGAAATGGCAACCCACTCAAGTACTGCCTAGAGAATCCCATGATCAGAGGAGCCTGGTGGTCTACAGTCCATGGGGTCGCAAAGAGTCAGACACAACTGAGTGACGAGCACTTTCATGAAAAGGTGCAGATGCATGCCCTCCCCGCCTCCTAGTGTAGGAGGTGGAGAGGGCATGCAAAGGTTGAGGCTCAGTAGCTGGCAAAGTTTAGAAGCAAGTGGCAGAAGCTCCAGCTTGAGGTTTTGTGTACAACACATGGGCAAAGGGTGCAGGCACCCAAGGAGGGGACTGGCACCACTGCCATAGGAGCCCCCATCCAGCTGGCGCTAGACTTAGAAGGAGGTGCTGAAGGGCCTAGAACCCAGCGCATACACAGATTACTAAAAGAAAAAAAAAAACACCATATTTTTTATTGGTCAATGTTGGCAGGAGTTTGTTACAAAACTGGGCCCGTGGAATGGGAGGGGAGGGGCCCGCCCCGTCAGATGCCAGCCCTGGGACCAGCGCAGCACGGAGCCCTGTGGCGGGCTCTCTTCACCCCTGGGAGGGCGACAGGGCCACAAAGACAGTTGCTCAAAGGGAAGAGGTCCCTGGGGCCCTATTCCTTGGCAATGGCAAAGGGCTTCTCCACCTCGATCTTGCCGCAGTCTGCGATCGTCACATCCTTCAGAGGCTTGTCCCGCCCATCGGTCTTGGTGCTTTCCACCTTCCGTACTACATCCTGGGGAGGAAGGCAGAGTGTCAGGTCTGCGCCACCAGGGGGACAGGCCCCAGGATGCAGCTGGGAGGGCTGCGACCCACAGGAGGAACAGCGTACAAACCATGAGGCACCAAGATCCTAGGGGCATTGTGACTGGGTGCCCACCCGGGTCAGAGAGAACCCAGCTTTGACAAGAGGAGGATGCAGAAGTTTTGATCCTCTGAAGTACCACCCAGGCTGGGCTAGGGGTATGTTGAGGGGGGGATGGGGGGGATGGGGAATGGGTACCAAGTGGCTTCTCCAAGATAGCGTGTCCAGCTGGCCTTGTACAGCTAATGGTGGAGCCATGACATGATTGAGTGACAGTATGAAGTAGCTTTATCTGTGCAGCCTCAAAGAGGCCTCCTGGTCAGCCTCTGCTCGGGGCCTTGGAGGGATTCAGAATGTGGGGGCACGACTTCCCTGGTAGTCCAGTGGTTAAGAATGCACTTGCCAAAAAAAAAAAAAAAAGAATGCACTCGCCTAGTGCAGGAGGCGCAGGTTCAAATCCTTCACTGAGAAACTAAGATCCTGCATGCTGTGGCCGAAAAAAGAAAATGAACGTGGGGGCATAGAGGTAGGCTGTTGATTCACAATTCACCCCAGATTTGCACAAATAAAAATTGGTCTGAATCTATATGTTCCCTTCTGGAAAAGGGATAAAATATATGGATCCCCTGCCCTGGTCTGTGTCAGATCTTGGTGGGGTGGGGGGGTGGGGTGGGGGCGGGGTATGCCCAGAGGTAGCCTCAGCCCCCCAAACTCACCATGCCCTCTAGAACTTTGCCGAACACTACATGCTTGCCATCTAGCCAGGCAGTCTTGACTGTCGTGATGAAGAACTGAGAGCCGTTAGTGTCTTTGCCCGCATTGGCCATGCTCACCCAGCCAGGCCCATAGTGTTTAAGCTTGAAGTTCTCATCGGGGAAGCGTTCACCGTAAATGCTCTTACCTGAGAAGAAAGAGAAGGTCAGGGAGCTGGGGTGGGGGTGGTGGGCAACAAAGCCGACCTTTGGGGTGAGGATTCTAGAGGCCGAACCTGTCCCCCATGCCAGGCCAGGCTCAAGTGGAGTCCAAGGACACATGCACCAGCTTCCCACCCTCTGGCCCTGGAGCCAAACCATGGTGATAGCTGAAGTGGGGCACGAGGCCAGGATGACTGAGTGAACTGTACACATCATGTGAGAACATAGCTTTATGGCTTTCAAGTAAGGCACATATTAGAAACGACCTTGGATGTGGCCTCAGAGGCTTGCCATGGAGACTTTAGTGGAGAAGAGGTGCTGGGCAGGATGCAGGGGGCCGCGGAGGGTAAGAAGCCTCCAGAAAAGGACTGCTAGAGCTGACCAGCTTTTCTTCCTAAGAGCACAGAAGATGCTGAGGAAGCTCCAAGCAGGAAGAGAGATGAGTGGGGAGGGGATGCCATTTGAGTTCTGGAAAGTCAAGAGCCTCATGGACAACTGAACCCCAAAATAAAAGGTGACTCTGAGTGCGTGTACTATGTCTGCGTGAGGAGGGTCTGGGGCCTGGGAGAAAGACAGGAGCCAAGAGCACATCTCTACCTATCCCTACCTTCCAGAGACCCTAACTTCAACTCCCAAAGCTAGGTCCAGGGGAAAACACTGCACCCTCCTCTGTCCCTGTGAGATTCACACTGTGCACTAGAGGCCCCAAGAAACCCAGCAGCAAAGAAGTGATTTTCACTTTGTTTTACCCAACACCTTTCAAACTTATTTGCATACAAAACCTTTTTCTCCTCCTTCATGATTCAACCAGACAGATGAAGAGCCTCTTAAGGATAGTTCTGGAGCGGAGTAGTGGGACCAAAAATAAGCTATTTTTATTTGTATTTTGAAATGTAAAAAGAAAATTGTCAACTCTTTAAGAAAAAAGATTCCCATGTGAGAATCCTTTGTAAAACTCGGCCAACTCCAGGATTTTGACTACTGCTGCTGCCCAGAAAACCCCCACACCTATATACTTAGCTCCCATCACTTTCACAAGATACAAGGAGTCCCAAACTTCAACGGACAGCGAAGGCTGTAAACTCAATATGCTTTGTCGTCTTTCTCTCCAGACTTCAGTTATCCTCTGCGCGTCAGCGCTGCCCTCACCCCCACCGTCCTTCCTTCCGTGCCCGCTTCCCCCACTGCGATCAGAGCGGAGGCTCAGTGGGAACAGTGTGCCAGAGGACTGGTGCAAGCATCTGACACATTAAAAAAAAACCCACCCCGTGAGGCAGGACCTAAGAGCCCCCTTCTCCTCAAAGATAAAGAAAACAAGATAGAGACGAGAGGTACCCTCGCTGGGAAGCAGCAGTGGAGTTCAAACCAAGGTGGTCTGGTTCTCAAATCTCTGCTCTTACCCTCTAGGAATCCTCCCTGGGTTCAGGCTCACATTGCTCGATGCAGGGGCGGATGTACCAACCCCCTGCCAGTCTGCTTCTCCTGCGTCCATGGCCTGAATCCACCACATTATCCCTCAAAACTCCCCTGCCATCAGGCCTTGCCCCCATTCACGTCTTCAGCAGACCCTCACTCTTTGGAGGACAAAGCCCTGGGTCCTGGGCCTGGCCCCGGCCTGCCACCCTGGGCTCTTGGTGAGAGCTCCACTTCCATCCTCCTGACCCATCTTCGACCAAGCCCTTGCCGCAGAGCTGAACACATGCCTTAATCCTGCCTCTTCCTTGCCCATTCAAATTCTCCTCAGTCAGGGCCCAGCTCAAATCCTCATGTTTGCAAGCCTATTTCCTGATCACCTTGGCCCAAAGCAGGCTTCCCTGGTGGGTCAGACAGTAAAGAATCTGCCTGCAGTGTGGGAGACAATTCCTGAGTCAGGAAGATCCCCTGGAGAAGGGAATGGTTACACACTGCAGTACTCTTGCCTGAAGAATTCCATGGACAGAGGAGCCTGGCGGGCTACAGTCCATGGGGTTGCACAGAGTCAGACACAACTGAGTGGCTATCACTTTCACTTGGCCCAAAGTGAGTCCTTCGCCTGTCAGTGTTTCGAGGATGGCTGGCTTTCCTTACCGCTCGCTGGGCACTGCACACTCTATCTCACCTCATCACCCCCAGCACCCACAACTCCTGACACCTAACTCTACAGACAGGAAACTGAGGTTCAGAGGACTTGCTTGCCTGTGGTCACAAAGTGAGAGGTGGCAGACACTCAACAGAGGGTCACTCCATGGATACAGTGCTTTGTATCATGTCTGCTTGTCCTTCTTGTCCAGCCAACTATGACTTACATCTTGTGTCACTTTCCTAGTGATTTCTCCTAGTTCTTCCCACCTAAATGATGAACAACTTGAGGACAGAGCGTTAGCTTTAAAAGCTGTGTCACAGCCTATTTGTAACTTTCCAGGTACAGGAAGTGAAAGTGAGTTGCTGTCCCACTGATTTTTTTGTTCTGTATCATCAGCACCCACCACAGAGCCTGGCCCAGTCAATACTGATCGGTTGGGTGAGCTGCAGCTGCGGTGTGAGAGAACAGCAAGCTGTACACCCAAGTGTGGTGACACCTGCGGGTTAGTCCAGGGTGTCTGTCTGTCCTAGCATACAAAGAGTGCAGGGGTCAGACTGGCAGCTCTTGTCAAGTGCTCTCTGGTGAGAGACTGCCAAGGAAAGCAATTTCTCTCAGTCCTGTTGGGGCCTCCCAGGTCACCACACGAGCTTTGGATACCTGACCTACAATCACCTACAGGTGGGTTTTGCTCTGCTTCCCTCCCCCCAGCAGGTACTATGGGGAATGTCAGAGGCTGTAGGGCTTGATAAGCATGTCGGCCAGCTATGCAAGATCCTCCCATGTCTGCCTGAAACCCAGGCCCCCCTCTTCACGGCACCGGGCTCCCTGGCCGTCCCACCCTGGGGCTGCCCTGAGACAGCCCTGTGCCCAGAGGACTTGAGGTTACCTCCAGTACCATCTCCCCGCGTGAAGTCTCCACCCTGGATCATGAAGTCCTTGATCACACGATGGAATTTGCTGTCTTTGTAGCCAAATCCTTTCTAGAAAAAGGAATAGGAAGGTGAGAAGGTGGCGTGAGGCACGAGGCAGACACTAGACAGGCCCTGCAGAAGAGAAAGCCCTGCCACAGATCCATCCTTCAACGTGCTACTGGGTGACTAGTGACCGAAGTCCAGGTCAGGAAAGGCAAAGATCCCACGTTCCTCAGCCTGTATACAATTACCCTTTACATAATGCCTCTAGCTTTTCCCTTACATTTCCTAATCTAATCATAGGAAGAGATGCAAAGAAACTGACAGGGGGAAAAAAAAAATTACCTGCTGATGCAATGGGAAGCTGGAATGCAAACTTTCTTAAAATGAGGAATTCAGTTCCCTAAAACCTGGAAAGCTCTGGGCCTCTCACTCTGGTGCAGAGGCCACAAGCTAGTTTCCCTAGATGTTTCCTTTAATTACTCAAAAATGAATAACCAAGGTCTCAGAGATGAAAATTTTCTCTGATTTAGTTTTCTCTGATTTAGATTTAGTTTTTAAAACTCTCGCAAGACACGATACTCCTGGATTCCCAGGGCCGAAGGGTACAGCTGGTACTCTGAGGTCCACTGCTATGGGTGGGCCACGTTCTGCAGGTCAGTTTGCTGTCAGCCCTACTTGCCAAACTTCACTGCCTTTGAGTTTGGCTACCCTGCCTCCAGCCACTTACCTCTCCTGTAGCCAAGGCCACAAAATTATCCACTGTTTTTGGAACGGTCTTTCCAAAGAGACCGATGACCACCCGGCCTATATCTTCATCTCCAATTCTCAGGTCAAAGTACACCTGAGGAAAAAGGCCATTAAAACTTAGCATCTTAAAAGGGGTCTTCCTAGGGAAAGAAGGGCCAAGAAACTACCCAGAACATGGTAGGGAAAACAGAACCAGAACCATATTTTAATAGCAGAGTTTCTGCATCTGATTTTGGTGGCGACAAACCCCCCACGAAAATCTAATGAATGCTCCATATGTTAGTTTACACTCTCTTTTCACTATTGGGTAACAACCTTGGCTCTAAATAAATAATGGGCCCAGATTCTAAAAATTAACATCAAAACCCATCAAGAGGGGAGCCCAAGCACACCACTCAGGTTTAAACTACACTGCTGTGTTTTGGAATTGAAAGTGATTAAAATCTGGCCTAAGAAGAGAAAGGACTAACAATTTGGCAGACGCGATCTTTTACTATCTTCCTAGCACCAGAGGTATTTGCAAAGTCTGCAAGCCCGGCCCCAGCTGGACATGCTGGGTCAGGGCCGGGCGATCGGGGTGGGTCCGGGTCATTCTCCAGGATCGCCCAGGTACCAAGAGGCCACAGTAGGGAGACTAGGGAGGGACAGAGCCAAAGCCGAGGACACCCAGGCCCGAGCTCCGGACACATGTAACCAGCTGGGCCAAGGCCTGAACACTGGAGGCGAGGGCGGGCCTCGCTAGGCAGGTCTGGAGAGGGGAGGCCAGACCTTAACAGTGACTTTGGGCCCCTTCTTCTTCTCATCGGCCGCGGACGGTCCAGGCAACAACAGGAAGAAGACGGAGCCCACAACCAGGGCGGCGACGAATAGCACCTTCATGTTCCGCTCCGAGAGGCGAAGCATCCACCGGGAGAAGCTACCGCGGCTCGGGCGCCGAGGCCGGAAGAGGGTGGGGATGCGGCGACGTTTGACCCAGCGCCTCCACCGAGAGCATCCGGGGGGGGAACGGGGCTCCTGCAGGACTCCGAGAGGGAGGCGAGCCCCATTTTCCCCCCCTCTAATTGGGCGCCGGATGGTAGGTCTCGACGGGGGGCGGAGCCCGGCTCGCCGACTGGGGCAGGCGGAGACGCCGGCTCGTGGGTGGCTGCCACGTTACTGCAGCCTCATTGGCTCCGCAGCTCGCCGATACCCATCAATGGGAAGGGATCAGCGGAAGGCGGCACCGCCTCCAAGAGCCCAGAGATTGGGCTGCTGGAGACTACAAGCCCCAGCAGACGGTGCCTTTATGGGAGTGGAAGTCGTTTGGCAGTTGGTGACCAATGCTTTAGGTTAGGAAGTCTGTGCACGGAGCAAGAAGACATTCGTCTTTGTCCGTGTGGGCCAGTCAAGGATTAGTCACCACCGAATTGGATTTGAGTGATAACCTTCAAAAACTTTGGGTACGTTTGTGCCTACTCACCGTATAACCTTCCCAGGTGGCTGAGATGGTAAAGAATCTGCAATGCAGGAGACCTGGGTTCCATCCCTGGGTCGGATGGATCCCCTGGAGAAGGGAATGGCACCCACTCCAGTATTCTTGCCTGGGGAATCCCATGGACAGAGGAGCCTGGCCCGCAGTTCACACTGAGGAAAATTGTTTACCAAGCTAGTTTTCAAAGCAGCCTTTCTCCACAAGAGGAACTAATGCTAAAATAGCCTAAAGGTAGCCTTCTTCCACCAGCGACCACCGCCAACCCCCAACCCCCCCCGACTTTTGGGGAAAAAATAAGCTTGATGGATACAGTGCTCTCAGTATGAAGTTTTTCTTTCATGATTATTTTTTAAAAACTTTATTTTTGACTGTGCTGGGTCTTCAATGCTGCGCAGGCTTTTGTCTAGTTGTGGTTACGGTGAGTGGGCTTCTCATTCCGGTAGCTTCTCTGGTTGCGCAAAAGGGGCTCTAGGGTGAACAGGCTTCAGTAGTCGAGGGTCCCACGCTCTAGAGCACAGGCTCAGTAGCTGTGGCGCATGGGCTTAGTTGCTTCTCAGATTTTCCCCGACCAGGGATTGAACCCATGTCTCCTGCATTGGCGGGCTTCCCTGGTGACTCAGCTGGTAAAAGAATCTGCCCACAACTCGGGAGACCTGGTTTCAATCCTTGGGTTGGGAAGATCCCCTGAGAGGGGAAAGGCTACCCGCTTCAATATTCTGCCCTGGAGACTTCCATGGGCTGTGTAGTTCATGGGGTGCAGAGTCGGACATGACTGAGCGACTTTCACTTTCCCTCCTGCACTGGCAGGTGGATTCTTGACCACGGAGCCTCCAGGGTAGCCCTGTAATGATGATCTTAGAGGTGTTTTTCATTAGTGAAGGAAGAACATTTAAGTAGTATTGAGCAGTAATAGAAAAAACTGGAACCAGACAAATTTTGGCCAGGTTGGTGGTGGTTTTGTGCTATATATGCCACGGGTGATTTTAGATTGTTACATAGTTACATCATAGTTACACCTTCTGTCTGTATAGATGTTCCTCATTAGCAGAGCAGAATTACAAAGCTGCCATTTCATAGTTGTTTCAGAGCAGATCTTAACTTCCTGGTATTCTAGCACTGAAGAACCACAGGGATACAGGGAGTTCCTGTATGTGATGAATGTCCAAAGTAAGTGATGAATGTCCTAATTCTCCTTTAAAGTGACTCACCGGCTAGAGCAATGTTCAACCCAAGAGAATGATGCAAGAGTGTGAAAATATCAGGCATTATTTTCATTCCTGGAGCCTTCAATCATACTGAAGTTAGTCCTAGCTGGATTCTTGGTTACAAATGAACCAGGAGAGGTTAAAACCAAACCAACCAACCAAACAAGCAAAATTAGCCAAGAAAGGTAAGACATTTTATTTTACATACAAAAAGGGTGCAAACTGAGTCCTTTCCTCCCCAGACTGGAGAAGAGGTATACTTAAAGATCACATTTGTGTTTTCCATGGTGCCCTAGGAAATGGGCTACTCTGAGATAATATCAAGGCCCGTTTCCATTCACTTCAAAGGCGGCTACTTCCTCCGCAGAGGAGTTTTTACTAAATGGTGTACAAATCTCTCTCCTGGAGGAACCATTTCAAATACACCTGAAATTGACATTCATGTTTAAAAATACTACAAGTTTCATTTTCACAGCTGAGCTTTGCAGACCAGTGCCAGGGTTTATGAAACAATATTACGTATCTAAAAGAAAAGGTTAAAAAAAAAAGCAATTAAAAAAAAACAAAACCAAAAAACAAATAAAAACGAATTCCAAAACCGAATTAAAAAATAACCAAGCCTAAAAAAAACTGCAATCAACATCCCAACATCTTTTTGAAAGTACAATGGGCAAAAATGTAAGAAACAAACAAAATAATAATATAATAAATTAGAGCATGTATACATCCAATAGGAATTGAATCAACATTATTTTCCATGGCGGGGGGGGGGGGNGGGGGGGGGGGGGGGGAAGCTTATAATATTTTTGGTTTCATTTCATTTTTTTCTGCTGTTAACTCTTCTGCTTGATAAATGGGGCTCATTCCCAGAGCTTGCTGCTACACTAGAAACTCACTCGTTTCTTGTTTACTTCTGAAAATACTCAGGAACACATGGTCCAGCAGCCTGGACTGTTTTTTTTTTTTTAAGGTGGGCTGTGAGTCTATGGAAATGAAATGGACACAGATGAGCGCTGGCATGTGCAAACACACACACACACACACACACACGCATACAAATGCAACCACACACACCCATCTGTATAGTCCTCCCCTTCCCCCACCCCTTCCCCCCAAGAAATGGCTCATCTTCCTGAGACATTCCTAACAGATCGATAAGCCTCTTAGAAAAGCTTTCGGTGTAAGAGCTGGCCTGGGATTTGGTCTGAAGCTCATGAAGGGGAACACTGAAAATGTCTCACCTGCTCTGAAAGAGGGGATTTGCGGGAAAGGGGCAGTCAGGACAGGTGTCCTCTTGTGTGTTACTGGGACGGCTGCATGGCATCCCTGCTTCTTACCATGGACAAAGGTGGTGATGGCACTGGGAAGATGATCGTGAGGAGTACAAGAACAACAGCAAAATAAATTCCATCCACAGAACTGAGGTTCTTTTATAACATGGAGTTTGGTAACCAAACTAGAAATATACGGAGTACACATTCACTTTTTTCCTTTGTAATACAAGCTGAGCTACAAATACACATTGGAGTGGATTTCCTGGTTGCTTTTTTAAGGAAATATGTCAACTACTACTGTCTATATCCAGGGAACCTACTTACTATTTTGAATACAGTGGAGAAATCTATTCTTTTGCACTCAGTCACCTGCAAAAGGAATTAGGAAAAAACAGATTTTTAAGACTGCTTAATTGATCAAAGATTTCCAAGATTCCTTACTTGTGGCTAAAACACTGCTTAAGACGCTGCAAACCCTCAAAGGGGTCATGGTTTCCTTATTCATAAACAAAATCACTCCCTTTCCACACCAAAAAAATACAACCCACAGGCATCCTATTTTGATTCCTAGCAATCCGTAAGGAGGAAGATTGGGAGTCACTGGCTGTCAGCCTCTAGGCAGGACCTTCCTGGAGCCCTGGAGTTGGCAAAAGCAAGAACCCCAGAGAAAAGTGCCTGTTGCTCACGTCAATCCAGATGGGGTGCCGAGTCATCCTGGCCCCCTAAAGGTTTCTGGAATTCATCTGCCCACCTTGGATCAATGGTGGGGATGGTGGCAGTGGCCTTGCAAAGGCAATGCTGGCTGTATGGCACCGCAAGCTCCTGATCTGAGAAGTTCCAGCCCTGACGTGGCTCTGACACTGGAGACAGCACTGGCAGAGCAGTTCACTGAGAATGAAATCTGGTGTCAATATGGAAACAGAAGAGGTGACTGGGACACAGGAGGAATGTAGACATACGTTAAATGAAAGATCAATTTTCTTAGAGGAGATACTTTCTAGGCTGCCATGAAAGCACTTCTTTTTGAAAACTGCAGGCCATGCTGCTCACTGGAAGAGAGACGGGTTGTCTTTTGCATAAAAAAGGTTAAGGCTATGATCTTTAGTAACCACTCTGACATAACGTTACCCCCACTTATTCCTGACAACAAAAGTGATTACTAACACTGAGAACCAACACTGAATATGTACTCCCAATGTACATTTCCAGTGAACTAAGTTGGAAGGTACTTTCAAGGCGACGGACACCTTTTCTGGCTGACAGGAGCTATTTCTATGAACTTGGAGTTCACTGAGAATGAACAGGCAATCAACCCTTCTCCTGGAAAACTCAAAATCCTGCTATCTGTTGCCCCTGCATTTCAAAGTACAGCAGGGCTTTAATTGACGGCCAGCCTAGTCACCTGACTTTGTACCTTCCCAGACCCTGTTTCCTCCTGGACGACCCCAAATGGCAGGAGCATGTTAATGAAGGCAGTGAGAGCACACTGCTACTGGCACACGTTCCATTCTTGGGGAGCCATCTGGAGCAAGATCACTGGGGAATGCCAAGGGATGCACAGCAAGCGGCTGACCCTTACGTGCTTAGACTGTCACACTCTGATCACAAGGGAGGACCATTTACATCTTGGTGGATTCCTGGCCTGCTTGCCTCGATCTGTTCAGGATGCAATGCCTGAAGGTTGGCAGGGCTTGGGAGAACCCCAGCTGTTGTTAGTGCTTAATGCTAACTCAGCAACAACTGCATCAGTACTGAAGAAGACCCCTAGGTATCACGGCTGTGAAGTGGGGAAGTGTACGGACTATGGAGCAAGCGGATTTGGGTGGGTGGTAGGTGGAGGGAATGCCCATGCCAGAGGACCTGGCCGAGAAATGGAGGTAAACAACGATAGCAACAGGGCTGAGGCAGCCCTAATAGGATGTGCTGATGGGGAGGGAACTGATGGCCAAATTACTCCTTAAGTACTCTTTTTAAATGATCATAACAGAATATCTCAGGGGTCTGGAACCACCCTGGAGTGCCAATGGCCCTGGGAGGATCACCATTACTTGGCATGCCAGAAAAATCTGGGTGTTTCACTTTTGTTATGAAAAATAAAATATCTGATAGATTTGTGAGAGGCTGAGGGTGAGAATAGTGCATTAAGAAGAACCCCCCACAACTGCTCAGGTTCAGTCCCCCAAGAGGCAGCGTTTAAAACAAACTTAAGACCCCCCAAAAGTCATAAATCCAGCTTCAAGAGGGCCCGCCCTGTAGCCAAGCTGGGAACTACCTTTTGCTTTCCTTGTGGAAGTGGGGAGGCACTTAGTGGAGTATGGAGGGCCAGGGACGCTCCAGACTTCGCCACTTGCCCTTGCCCTCCCTTGAGAAGCAAGGCTTTTCTATACTGGGATGTGGAAGTTAAAGATTCTGTACAGGAAGTTAGAGTTACCCAAATTGAGAAGTTACCCAAATGCCAATTGAGAAACTATGTAAGTTTCAGTGACAGTGCCTGAACCACCAGCTAATGTCAAGGAAGCAAACCCCAATATTCAAATTTATTGTGGGGAAGGGGTGTGTCCCTGAATCTCCCAGCCATTCTGTTTTATTTACAGGAAAATTTCTTTTAAAAAATGAAAGATCACAATCTTTACATAAGCTAGGCAAGTTTGAAGCCAATGAAGTGGCTAGCCAAGGCCCAGTGGAACACAAGTGAAGCCCAGTAACTCTGTTCCACGTAAGATACATCAAGGAACCTGTCACGGAAAATATCAACCACCAGAAAGTAGGCCCACACCCTCCAGTCCAAAAGACAGCTCTATACTTCAAGCCAGAGGCACTACTATGTTCCCCAAACCCCCAGACTAAGTCACCAGTCACTATCCCCCATGGTTAGCTCTCTCTACCCCCAGATACAAGACCTCACTCTCTGATGGACTGAATCCTTTCTCCTCAGTCTTCTCTGGAATGAGAAATCACTACTTGGATAAGTCACTCAACTCAAATGAAAATCAAGCATGAGGAGATTAACTCCACACACTGATGACTTTTCAAGCAGTGAATGAGGAACTGAGACACTTCAAGGCAGCATGTCCTGTCAATAGCATGGGGGAACGTGGAGAGTGGACTGGCGAGAACAGGCTGTAGACACGTGGCTGTCTTATCTAGCAGGAGTCAATGTCCAAGTGAGAAGATGACTCCATACCTTTCATTTCGGTCTCCTTTCCCCTGGAATTTTCCAGCAGTAACCAGCCCTACACTCCTGTTCACTTAGAGCCCCATGTACTGAGTCCTAAGCCTGCTGCTGTGGACCTGTTGGAAGAAGATCTGCAGATGCTTGGTTTCTGGTAAGGCAGGCAGGCCAGCCCAAATGCTGTAACCCATCTACTGGGGCAGAGAGTACACACCAATTTTATTTCATGGCCCCCGTGATGAGCCAAATCCTGAGGTTTCCTCTGGCAGGTGGAAGGCAGGATCACTTTCCTCCTCCTTGTCCACTAAGTGGCAATATGGTGGTGGTGGTTTCATTACTAATTCTGTCCCCCAAGTCACTGAAGAAGTCACATGGCTATCTAGTTGGAAGTCCCTGGCAGTGGACAAAACAGGTATTTCCGGTTTTGTTAAGCATCTCCTTCTCTGGGATGAACTGTCTCCTGGTTGCAGTCTGGCTTGGACAGCTCCTCCCACGTGCTGGAGAGTGAGGCTGTCCAAACTGCAGGCTGATGAGGTCAAGAGGCTCTGGGAGGGACATTCTTCAGCAGCCGAGAAGACGAATGAAAATTCAAGTATGTTTCCCTGCTAACCTGAGTGTTCACTCAGAAGGGCACAGAGTTTGGCTTCTTTTCTTCCCGGGTGCTGCAGACCCAACTCTTTCCACGGATAATGTCCTCTGGACCCATGTTCTCTTTGCATGGCTTGACTGGCCCCATCCCCCTCCAAACAGAAAAAAAGTAAAAAATCCCAATATAACCAGACACAATATGCATCTGCCATGGTTTTTGTGTGTGTGTGTTAAAACAACAACGACAACGAAAAAGAGGGGAAAAAAAAAAAACCTAAAAGTGCAATAAAGTCAGTCTTTTCCTTTGCTCAGGACAACTTGCAACGTTCTACTATGACTGGAGAACAGAGTTCACTTGTTAAGAAAGCTGAGAGCGCAGACACGCAGGGACAGTAGACTGCAGATTCCTCACAGCTTGCGTGCTACAGTGTAACTTCACAAGAGGGAAGGAGGGAGTAACCTGCACCCCATGGCCCGCTGGGGGTGGAGGCTGCACAGGCGCGGAGGGAGCTGCGTTGCCGCCAACACACCTGGTGGGCGGAGAAGGTCCTTCTCCCGCTCTGGCCTGCGCCTCCCTCCCACCTTCCTGGCCACACCCCAAGCCTCTTAAACTCCTTCCGCAAACAAAGCCTTCAGCTCCTTAGCTTGTGTGCTGGAGAGGGTTGAGGGTGGGGCAAGAGCCAGGAGTAACTAACGGGTGGGAAGAGAACAGTAGTCCTTGAGTTTCTGTGAATGACACCGTCACTGTAAACAATAGAAGGAGAGTCAGCCAGGCGGCCCAGAGGGCAAGCGGTGGAGACCGGTGGCTCTGGGACCTGCTCAGAGCCTTAGGCAGGTAGGGGTGGCCACTGACCCACTGGGCCCTGGCTGCCCACACGGGCTTCTTCTGGGGGTATCTGTTTTCTTCTTTTTGGTTTGGATCTCCACCCTCCCCCCACAGAGGAATCCCTTCCAATGAGAAATGGCAGGAGCTGCGGGTGCAATCGAGTCAGAGTCCCCAAGGCCTGAGGACTCCGGGGAGGCACTGGTCACTTGTGGCGCTGGGTGGTCTTCTTCCTTTTCCTCTTAAAGAAGCAGCAGCACCTGCAGCACAAGAAGATCACAAGTCAGCCTGCAGCTGGCACAGCTGCCTGCCCGCCTCTGTGGACTGCACCCACCCACAGGGCCGCCCACCATCTACGGTGCGGTGCGCATACGGAGGCAGTGGGCAGTGTCTGCAGGGAAAGCCGAAGGAAACCGCTACTTTACTGCAAACCCTATCATCGAAGGGCTGCAGGCAGAGCAGGGCTCAGGCAGGCGTTTTTGAAAGGATGAAGAAGGCTTCTTTCCTAGTCTTAATACCTCAACCTGCCATCTTTCTTTATACTGAACCAAGGCTGGGGATCCTCAAAGCTGCACTGTTTGCCCCTTAATACAGAAGGCAAAATTATTTAATGTGACTTTAGTGGTCAGTGGGTATGGAAGCTAAACTAAGGCCAAACAAATGCCAAGAAAAGTATGACGTCTGGAACTCTAGGAGGCTCTCACGATGCTACCAATGAAGAATTAAGGATTCTCCCTGCCCTCCATCCCCGGCCCTGGTCAGCTACCTGGTGTAGGCAGAAGCCCTGACTCTAATAATTTAGTGAAGCCAGATCTCTTGACTGAAATCAGCACTGCCCATTCTTCATTTGGAGGATCAGTGCCACAATTCAGGAAGCAGCAGGTTGCACGGTCCTTCTCAGCCAGCTTTCTGAGGCTGTTGCTGGGCCAGACTGGGTTCAAGGACTGACCCTGTTTAGGGTGGCGGGTTGGGCCTGATCCCTTCATAAGCCCTCCAAGTGCTGCCTCCTGGGTGACAGCCACAGCTCCGCCACATCCCTGAGCTTGGCTAACCCCCCCGTCCCAGGACTGCTGTCTTTGGAACTGGAAGTCGCTCTTGCTCAGGCAGTGACTATTCCAGAATGGGGTGACGAGGGCTGTAGCACAGCTGGTACAAAAGACGTCCTTTCCAGGAAGCTAATGCATAAAAAATGAGAACACCAGGGGCAGAAAGTGGTGAGTGAGTCAAAGATGCCAGATGATGGAGGGTAGAGAAGCTGGAAATGTAACTCAGGATTGCTGGACCCTTGAAAGAAAAGCTTTCCTCAGAAACTGTCTTTGGCTCTTTTGCCTAATCCTTTTGGGTTTAACATCAAAAGTATTCACAAAGAAATAAAGAGCTGTTGCTTACTTCCCTAAGCCCCTAAGTCCTCCACTGTAGCTCAGATTCCCTTCTTTTTTCAGCCAGACCCATTGGTATTCACACACCCAATGGACTAGTTATTAAAGATTTGGATAAAGTGTCTTCCTAGAATGCACAAATTGATGTTTACACAGAAAAATGATGGGCTTTAACCATATCTGAATGAATTAAACATGGAGATGTTGGAAACAGGCGCCTAAGAGAGGCTTTAAAAAAAAAAACCACTTTTTGAACGATTTTTTAAAAACACTGCTTTGTTTTTTGTTTTTGTTTTGTTTTAAAAACCATTTAATTTATTTATTTGTTTTGGATGTGCTGGGTCTTTGTTACTGCCTGAGGGCTTTCCCTAGTTGCAGTGGGCAGGCTTCTCATTTTGGTGGCATCTCTTCTTGTGGCTCGTGGGCTGTAGGGCTTCAGTAGTTGTGTTGCATGAGCTTAGTTGCCCTGCGAAAAGTGTAATCTTCCCAGACCAGGGTCGAACCTGTCTGTGTCCCCCGCATTGGCAGGGAGATTCTTAACCATTGGACCACCAGGAAAGTCCTTAAGAGAATCTTAAAAAAGATTTTCTGAGAGTATGATGACACATGTGATGTACTATTAATGGGTGGCAATATAGTCACTAAACAAAGTGTCCTTTGTGTTTAGAGACTGCATAATTTCTTTTAAATAAAAATGACCAATATTTTTTATTATTTTCAGTCCTTAAAGGAATATCCTTGGGGAAGGATTTTTTAAAAAAAAGGTCTTTTTGTACATATACTTTAGAAACAGACATTTTTCAAGGTGAATGTCCAGAAATTATTAAATAAGGTGAATGAAATCTCATGGGAGCACCAATACTCCAGTAGAGCTACCTGTTCCCTGTTGACCATGACTTTCAGAGGGATCACTAACATTTAACTCAATTTCTATTATTCTTTTCGGAGGGTGCTAAGATAATGATTTTGTGTTTTTAAGTAAGAGCAATCATTAAAAAGTTCACGTACTGTTTTGGTCCAATTCAAATGATACAATTTTTCTTTTACCTCCTCCAGGGCAAGTCATAAAAATTAGTATCTACTGATAAGCATATCATAACCTGATGTGCAAAGCCAAATTCACCTGACAGAAGGAGAGTGTAAGCTGGGGTTTAGAGCTTTAGATTAATTTTCATTAGTTACTATAGTTAGAACTTCAGCAGTAGCAGAAGCTTTTAATAATTTTCTACCCAGGAGGAAATGGTCTCTGGAATCTACTCTTTGGTTTCTGTGGTGAGTACCAGCAATAGGACCTGTAAAACTTCATCAGACACCAAACCAGTCCACTGACTGACTCCATACAGATGTCTTATTCTCAGAAGAGGATGAAAGCCAAGTGATTAAACCCTCCTTGGGTCGTGGGTTTTCTTCCAGCTGATTCTTTGATTTGCTCTCCCTTCAGCTTTTCCTGTATTATGCTTCTCTGCTGTACTGGTACACCCTTCCTTGGCTCTAATACTGGGGTTAAGCCCCACAGTACCCATCAAGTCTTCCTTAACCACCCCTGTTGACACTGACCTCTCAAGGGACAATCACATGTGGCCTTTCAAGCATGTATGTCTTACCTCTCCAGGTAGATTGCACCTAAGCTCTTTGGGGAAGGCCTTGGGACCCCCTAGAGTTCCAAACATAGAGTAGACAAGCACACAATAGGCCCTCTGCAGTTAGGATCATGCGACTGACATCTCACAGGAAAATATCAACCACAACAATGTCAGATTACACAGACACATGTCTGGTAAATAAATAGGCCAAATGTACTCCTTGGTACTGCAATACTACAAATTATATCTCCACCAAACCCAACTATTATCTTCAATACACCCTGCCACTGGGGAAACCCTGCAGGCAACTTGGCTTAGACTGGGAGAAACTGGTGCCCAACCCAGTCACTGAAGACAAGTAGGAACCAGGCAGTAACAGAGCCCAGCAGACTGTAATCACCACACAGAATGTGATCCCAAGCATGCAGACAACGTGGGGGAGGACACCAGACCACAAAAGGCCACAGCTCACAAGCACCTGGAAAGTCAAGGCAGTGTCCGGGGAAAGAGGTGGGAAGGGGCTCTGTCTTCCAGCAAGAATGTGCCTCAGCCAACACAGAATCTTTAGGGCCTCCCCTTCAGCACACCTCATGCTGCCACTAAAAACGCATTCAGGGAACCTTTTCTGGGGGTGGAAACAAGAGGCCCCAATATCTCAGTCAAGTCAGTCCATGGCCCACTAAACCCTGATAGGAAGGGAAAAGGAGAGAAAAGCGGGGGGAAAAGACAGTAAATGAAAAACAAACAAAAAACTCAAAACAGCAACAACAAAATGTCCATCTTTCCCCCAAGAAGTAGCTCCCTTACTCAGAGAGACTCATATTCTACAGATGGAAAAATCAGCTAAACCAAAAAGAAAAGTCACAGATTTCTCCAAAGCTGCTAATTTCAAGGTTAGAGACCAAGCCACAGAATGTGAGATTATCTGGCAATGACTGTTGTGAGGAGTAACTAGATTCTCATTATACAACTGATACAGTAACTCGGTCTTCTTACCTCTGTCCCTCTCTGTCTGATTAATATCTGGCTGTGTTAATTTCAGAAAAAAAATCTGCTCAGCTAAAAATGAAGAGACAATTTTGGATACTGTGGGATACTGTTTTGACAGGAAGAGGCAGCAGTGTGGTGGGTTTGAAAGGAGACAAGGAACAGATGAACTCCCAGGTACAGGCCTGCCCATCACCACCTTGTGGATCTAGCGCCCCGGCCTGGGTGGGGACAGCACAAGGTGGCATACGGAAGCCATTGAGTGTTCCTGAGGCATTTTGTTTGGCTTTGCCAATCCCAACCTAGCCTGGTCCACTCCCCGAGCATGTGAACTGGAGAGAGGGACTCACCACAGGTTGAGCATTTTCAGGCAGCTACAGAGTGTGTGAAGAGAAAAACACAGAAAGGAAGAGAGAGAAAGAGAGATATTAGTCCACAGAGGTGAGAGGAAAGCGACTCCCTGTGAGCCATGCAAACATGCAGTATGTGTCTGTGTTTAGGTTCTTCCTCGGTCAAGGTAGGGTGAGTAGGCCCAGGCCACTTGGTCCCCACACTGAAGTGGAGGGGGTAGGGGAAGGTGCCTGACAGAAACGTCAAGGTGGGAGCTGCAGCTCAGTGAGGACTAAGGCAAAACTGAAACAGCTGGTGGGAGCCCCGAGAGTGGGCTTTCCTGGGCAACTTCCAGAAAGGGAGCAGGAGAAAGGGCATATGATCCTGCTGGTATGAATTCAAACAGGCACAAGGCAGAGTCATTCTGATTCCCGCATGAAGTCATACCATGCAACTGGTTAAGCTGATCTCCCAAATATTCTGAGGGAAAGAGAAGTCCCTGGCCTTTCTGTAAGACTAACATACATGCCTGACCAAAAAGGCCAGCAGTTAGCTCTTCCTCTAGACGGGAAAACAGGCTTCAGAGACACTTTATCCTATTAGGAGAGAACAAGGAGGGTCACTGCTGCTCTGGATTAAGTTATAACTGCCAGAGAAGGGCCTAAATCCCAATCTTGTTAATTTTCAGGGGAAATGAGGTCCACATGTGCCAAGCTGTAGCTAAAGTCAGTGGATAACCAAAAATTCCTGTGTTCCTACAAAAGTCAACCAAAAAGCTGCCTTGCCTCACTACCCTTTCAGTCACACTTAAACAAGGATATGTGTCCTAAAGCTAAATGTAAGATAGACATTTATTTTGTTTATAGTACAAAGAAACAAGATCCTGTTCTCTCCTCCTTTACACAAAGCAAGCTGGGTAAGGAACCCAAAATCAAAAGCTTGGATGTGAAGGTTTCACATTGTTTGCTCAGGACCCTCGTTGAATCTTAATCTAAAAGCAACGGCCCCCTCTTCTTCCACAAGCAGGTTGCACGGATAAATGGCATCACAGCTGTGTGCAATGAGGAGTTGTGTGGGATGCCTTGTGCTTCTCTAGCTGTGACTTCTTCCCATGAAATCGATCAGGCAGGTGGACACATGGCTCCCCCCACTACTCCCCTCATACATAAAAGACCACGAAGAAAAACACAGGGCTGTGCCCTGACAGTTCTCTGGGCAAGATGGATTGGCAGCTGAGGAAATCACTGGGGAAGTCAGCACACAACATGTCCTAAGCCACGCTTCTGGATGACATTTGGCCAAATACGACTGCTCCCCTCTGGCGTCCACACCTTTCAGAAGGCTCGAACCTGGCATAGAGGTCCTTTTTGCTGAATGGGGAGGCTTTAAACTCTTTATGTCCTGGAATTTAGATTATGTCAGAACAGAACACACCAGACTGAAATCTCTTTGTGCGAATGGTCCCCTATCTTATACACAGAACACAAACACCACACTCACATATACAATTAGTGTACACATTTACCAAAATGAAATGAAATAAACTGGTTCAAAGATAAATCTGTACAGGGCATATTTAAGACTAACGCCCATTCTATCCTGGTATTCAGAGCACAGTAGTAAATCCAGAGCTCACCTAGCCTTCAGAGTAATAGCCACAACAGTGGATTGGGAGTGAGGTGGGGGTAGGCGGAATGGTGCAGCCACCTGTCAGCTCAGACAATATTTGGGTCAGATCACACCCAGTACGGTGGTTCCCAACCTCAGCTACACATCTGAATCACCTGAACTTTAAAAACTTCTGATGCTCAGGCCATATCCCTGATAAATGAAACCAGGATTCAGGCCTTTGTATTTTCTGATGTGGCCCAGGAGACTCCAAGGTGCAGCCAAGGTTGAGGGCTCAGAAACCACACTGTATATTTGGGAGAATGAAGTTTTGTCATGGGAACTGAAATACTGAGTACCATGAAAACTTCCAAACTCCCTGGGAATAGGGAGCATGTTTCCTTACTGAAAACAGTCTCCTCCTGACTTTAAACCCCTCTTTTGCCCTCCCTGTATATTAGGCCTTACTTTAACCATGGGAGGGCTATCTGAAGCCGCCTACAGTGAGCAGGGACTCAGCAAGAGAGTCCAACTCTTTTTTATCTCTCTGTGTGAATAGCCCCCTATCTACTGAGTAGGAATCCTCAAGCCCTGGCTTCTGAAGGAAAGGACCTTTGAAAGCAAAGTGAGTTCATCACAGAGATGGGTGGCAGAGCACAGGAGTAGGCAGGGGAACAACCATGCAAAGTTGTACTGATATCTAGAAGGAAGAATGCAGATCTTGATTAGCCTCTTACTACCTCCTACGGAGGCACAAACATCTTCCGGCAGGTACTTTGGCTATCTGGGGGCTCAAAAGATCATTTAAGGCACAGTATCATTATAGATGACATTGCCTGCTTCTGAGAACAAGATATGGGAACAGATAGTATGTTCTCAAAGGGTTTATAAGAAAAGTCATCCATAATGGGCATGGCAGAAGTTGCTAATCTGTGAAGGACTTCTCTCTCCCTACCTAATGTTGTATTGGAGCTTAAATCTGGACCTGAACTCAGGCTGGGACAAAAAGGGAAAGTAGTGATGGAGATGCTGCTTCTGTAGCAGAATCAGCAGTATTTCACCTTCAACCCCATTTTCTAAGAGTTTAAACACAGACCATGCAGAGAGCACTAGAGGCCAGAGGGATGGGAAGGGCAAGGCAGTCACATGCAAGAGAAGCAGAAAAGGGAAGAGGGGCTCCCCCACCTTCTTGGGGTTAGTGTGATTTCCTCTCCTTTCCAAGATTCACTCATTCAACAGGTGCAGATAACTAATCCAAGTCTCTCTGAATTCAGAATACTTTGAGAACAAAAGGGCTCTGAGGCCCTTGTCTAGGACTACAGATATAGAGTGGTTAGCCAAGAACCAGAAATCAAAGGCTGGTCAGCATGGCCCATGGTGAGACAAGCAGATTTTTCTCTCTGTCCCTTAGGAAGCAAGAGGTTCCAGGGCCCCCAAAAGGCTCATGACTATTCTTGGGTGTAGCTTTTATACCACGATCCTTTTAGGTTACTATGTCTTTTCATACATGTGGACTAGAAAAAGTGACTGTCTTCCCAGAAATCACAGCTAAAGAAGGGTGGCGGCGGCTAAGGTACCATGCACAAAATAAAATGGTCAAAGGAAGAAAGCGGTGGGCACAAGCATAAGGAATCCAGTCTGAAATGAGCAGCACACGAGAGGAAAAGACAGAGAAAAGATTTTTCAGCCTATAACTCAAAAGCCCCCTGGAAAGATGAACGTACTTAGCTTCCTCCACTACCTCCACCTCGGCGTGAGCGGTGATGGGTGCGTTGGAGTGGGCTCCCGTGGGGTCGTCAACATTCAGCTCTCCATTGGTTGAGCTAACCACCTGAAACAGAGGGACAGAGTGTGACAGACACCATGGCAATCGGAGCCTCCTGCCAGTGCCAGAGAGGCTCACTAAGGAAGGTCTGGTCTCTAGCTTAGGTAAGAGCCAGGCAATGTTTAGAACATTTGTTTTTCTGGGCTGGGGGGCCAAACGTCCTAATTTAGGGAATGTGCCCAGACCCACATCATGTGAAAACACGAAACTCATATAACTATGATAACTTTCATACCGAATGCCTACTCTGTGTTAGGAACTCTTGCTACATTGTGTTGTGCTGTATGTGTGTGTGTAAATCTAATCCTCACACAGAAATCCTACAGAATAGTTGATGTTACTGTCTCTAATTCTATCTCTCTCAGCTTATTACGTTATAATTATATACAGGCTCAGTGATGATGTTAAAAAAAATCTAAAGAGGAAATCAATAGTAAGCACAGAAAACTATAAGCAGTCACACTTTCCTTCAGAAATTTCTTCACAGTTTTGGACTTTCGGTTTGAAGTTACTCAAATAAGACTGCCACATCCTCTCTGTGTGAGAGGGCAGACAGGAAAGAAACACTTTCCCTTGGAAGACCGATCTTATGTCAACAACCTTTATTTCAGGTTCAGTGTCATCCCATTTTTCACTGGTGGTCCCCGAACTGTAACTGAAGGCTCTCACTCCTGTCATCTGGTTAATGTGGAACCGAACAGGCTTCTCTTGCTTGTGCAGCTGCTTCTGTCACCTGGATTCATTTCCAGCACATGATTCCTGCTTATGTGGGTGCTGGGAAGTGGGAAAAGGGACCCCGCTGGACAAACCACTCTGCTGTTAAAGACCTTGGCTGAAACATGGGAGAGAACCACAAAATAGGATAAATGGTTCAGATATCAAATGCCCTTGGGTAAGTAACTTTTCATCTATATGAGACAGTTGCTTATGGACTGATATGAGAATTATACAAGCAAATGCATGAAACCATGTCTGGTACAATACCTGATGCACTATAACGGAGACAGCACAGTAGGTAAGAAATGGGCTCTAGACTTACTCAGCCCTGGGTTAGAACCCTAGCTCCACCACTTACTTGCTGTGGGTCCTTGGGCAAGATCCTCACTCTTTCTGTGCCTGAGCTTCCTAATCTGTAAAATGGGGAAACAATGCTGCTTACCTAATTGGGTTACTGTGCAGACAACTCACAGAAAGCGCTTAGCCCAATGTCATGGTACATGATAATGGCCCAATAAACATTCACAGTATTGTTATTCTCCCTCCATAAATGTTTACTTTTATCTTCCTCTAGAGCTGGGAGGGAGTCATCTGTAAAAATTTCCTGCACACTTATAAGGAGGAAGGTGGAGGAAAATGTTTAGTCTAAGGAATCTTTGAGGTATTTATTCAAAAAGGAAAGGGCAGACAAGGTGAATACTACTTATCAGCAGTCTTTGCCCACCATTATTTCTAAACTAGAAGTATTTATTATTCTTATTAATTACATCAATATAAGCTTTAAAAAATTATTAACAATGTTGTACAGTTAGTCAAGGAGGCATACAACATTAAGCCTGGACTTACCCATGGGAGACCCAAAATTTGCTAGTAATCAAATTTAGCATCTCTGATCAATGAAACCATCTAACCTTATTTATCTCCTGATATGATATAATGAATACTACATAATATTATCTATATAGTATTCTTGCAAAAAAAAATTTATCTGAATCTTAAGTATGATGGAAAAAAATAAGACAAATTCAAAGTGCAGGACATTCTCTATAAGACAAGAAGTCTAAATTCTTTAAAAAAGATATGTCTCAGAAACTTTTTTTTTTTTAAACACAGAGCTAATCTTTACAGATTAAAAGAAATTAAGAGACTGAAGAGGCATAACAACCAAATGCAGTATATGAACCCTAATTAGATCCTGAACACTACAAAATAAATTCTGGAGACAATTAGGGGAAATGTGAAATGACTGTATACAAGCTATTATGGAATTATTAATTTTCTTATATATGACAGTGGTGGTGTTGGTTCTATGAGAGAATGGCTTCATTCTAAGGAGAAGCAGGCTGAAGTATTTTGGGATGAAATGTACTTACAAATATTTTAAAAACACCCCTCCTGAGTTAAAGAAAATATGGCAAAATTCAATCATTTCTTAATCTAAGGATACACATAGGCTCACTGCATCTCCCCTTCAACTTTTCAGTAGATTTTAAAATTTCATAATGAAAAGTTGGGGAAAATGAAAAGTTTCAACAAAAATGAAAAGTTGAGGAGAGAAGGTTTATAGACTGGAGAACTCCAGTCCTGCTAATGTTGTCCTGTTAATTTCCTCAGCCTACCCATGCTTCTGGTGGGCACAAGAAGAAATCACAGTATGTTTTTAATAAACAATTCAGGAACTAGATAAGGTGTTAAATGAAATGTCTTGGCCTCTGCTGACATAAATGAAGCTACAGTCAGCATCACCACTGTGAACTGCCTGGTGACGCTGGGTCATGGCACTTGCTTACAGCATTTCACACGTCTCATACTCTCTAATTTCTCCTTACTATGCTGCCACTTGACCCACAAGCAATGTCCTTGGGTGCCCCATTTTACAGACTAGACATATTGTCTGCATCCATGAGTATCTGGTCTCAAACAAATCAGGCACAAATGACAGCTTTACCATCAACTGTCTAACCTTAAACTTAACTGCATCTAAAATATACTTAGGAATCAAGAGCAACTAATCTGGACCTCTAGAGCATACACTTAATTATTTCAGGTTGGAGGTATAGTTTGTCAAACTATGGGACTGCCTAGACGTGCAGTGGAACAAATACCTAGTGGAGGTGACCAAAGAACTGGATTCTCGACTGTCAACATTCTCTGCGAGCCCTGATTTCTAATTCTGTAAGACTAGGCCAATAACCACCTTGGTTCTATTAACCTCGTAATAACTATGGCAGTTAAACATAATGATGTTTAGGAAAGCAATCTGAAAAACTGTGAAGAACTCTAAGGCTGTAACAAATCATTAGTATTTGAAACTATCATTTATACTTTTCCATTGATTATTTTAGAATAACCTAATTAAAAAGTAGGCTGTATTTGTATACCTCGAACACTGGCAATTTATTTTGCTGTAATCACTATTAATAATACTAATCTCACATTTCTCTGGCTATATCCTGTAAGATCAAAGTAATTAATACAGGATTATCCATGAAAGAGACTAATGTGAAGTACTGTTTTGAACTTTAGCCCTTCATATTGGTAGCATCCCTTTTAAGAGTCTCAGAGATCTGAGTTACAAGCCCTGCTTTTCAAGTTGTTACCATGAAGAAAAATCAAGAGTTATGTACCAAAGGAAGCAGTATTTTAGCTGATAACCAACATTTCAATCCTAATACATTTGGTAATTCAAAACTAATACATTTGGGAATTCTCTGCTTTAGTTTCCCTATCTATAAAATTGGAATAACACTGATCTTAGTAAGAGTTGTAAATAATTATAAAGATTTGAGCAAAGTGAATATTAGCTAAACATTAAATGTCATTCTTAAGTCATATGCCCTTGTATCTCCTATATATTTTAATTTAAACAATTTTCGACCCTTTTTTTTTTGGACAGAAGTGAAAGTAAGAAAGTGAAAGTTGCTCAGTCCTGTCCATGACTCTTTGCAACCCCATGGACTATATAGTCCATGGAATTCTCCAGGCCAGAATACTGGAGTGAGTAGCCTTTCCCTTCTCCAGGGGATTTTCCCAACCCAGGGATTGAAACCAGGTCTCTTGCATTGCAGGTGGATTCTTTACCAGCTGAGCCACATGGGAAGCCCAAGAATACTGGAGTGGGTAGCCGATCCCTTCTCCAGCAGATCTTCCCAACCCAGGAATCGAACCAGGGTCTCCTGCATTGAAGGAGGATTCTTTACTAACTGAGCTACGAGGGAAGCCAAATTTCACATACTGTTGGATGGGATGCTTTTTCCACAATATATTTTGGCCATTTTCCATGACATCCAGAGATCTGTCTCTCCACAGTATAGACGTATTATATTTGTTTAGTTAATGCTAAACGCAGATATTCAGTAAGTGTAAAATACATACTAGGTTTCAAAGACTTATTATTAAGGTTAGTTTCACCTGTTTCTTTTTATTTTTTAACAAGTGATTATTAGGCAATTTTAAATTACAAAAGAGACTCATTTCTCTTAACAGTATTGTTCTAAAATATGTATCTTTACTATTTGTACATTTTTTTCCCTGTACTTTTTTGAGGGCTATTTATCTGAAACTGGATTCACTGGGTCAAAAGCGGTATAAATATTTAAGATTTTAACAGGTATTGCCAAATTACCTCCATAATAGTTGAAACTCATGTTTCAACAACACTAGGTGAATTGGCTATTATTAAACTTAGAAATTTTTGCAAATGAGATAATCAGAAACTGATACATGTGTATACATATATTGACATATATTTTTTAAAATCGTTGTTTTATTTTTATTAGTTATACAAGCACACTGGGTAAAGAATCAAATATTTATACTCAGATACTTGTGAAAAACAATAAACTCTTTCCTCCACTCCACCATTTCCCCTTCCTTTATAGCTGATTCCTTTGTTTTTCACTTCCATATCTCTGAATAACATGCATCTTGATTTGTTATTTTTAGGCAGTGTATTCACCTTTTTTATCTTTTTATTCCCCCATTAAAGTTTATACAGTAATTACTAAATCAATTCTTAGTGTTTACAACAATTAAAGGCTATTTACAGCTGTATCATGGAGTGTACCATAGTTCTCTTTTCTTCCCTGTATAATTTCTTGTTTGCCATTGAGTTAACTGATAAAATTGCTTTCCAAGCCTCCTGACCAGCTCTGTTTGGGACAGGCTGTCCTCTTCTACTGGAAGACAGCTGTCAGTCTGGGACCGCCTGTCTTTATACTGCTGCTTTCCTGAGTTGGATCTCGTTTCCTGGATCCTATATTTACTCTTTCTTGGTTAATTCACTCATTTTCATAGCACACTTCCTCCTACAGCTTTACAAGGGTGCATGAGAAATAAAATTACTGGGACCACAGATTTTTGAAAATGTCTTTATTACATATTTCAACCAGAATTGACAGTTTGCAGAAGTACAGAATTCTAGGTAGGAAATCATTTTTTCTTGGTTTTGAAGGAATTGCTCATTGCCTTCTAGCTTCCAGTACTGCCGTTCAGAAACCTGAGGCTATACTAAGTCCTGGTCCTTTATTTGCATGTGACTGTTTTCTTTTTCTGGAAACTTGAAGGATTTGCTCTCTGTCTTCAGTGTTTTGAAATTTCACATTGATATACTCTGATGTGATTTCACCACCCATTTATGCTGGGCACTTGGTGGGCCTTCTGATCTGGAAGCAAATCTCTGAGATCTGAGAAATTACTTTGTCCACGAGTTCTGCCCCTCTCGGAACTCCCATTATTTAGAAATTGGACCTTCTGGCTCTTCTTAAATCTTATGTTGTTTCCTACTATTTTTATCTCTATTTGCTCTACTTTCTGGGAGACTTCCTCACAACCTTATCTTCCAAAGTTTTGAGCTTTTTGTTTTTGGGCCACACCACAGGGCATATGGGATCTTAGTTCCCCAATCAGCGATCGAACCCATGCCCCCTGAAGCACAGAGTCCTAGCCTCTGGACAGCCAGGGAATTCCCAACTATTGCGTTTTAATTTTTTTTTAATGTATTTATTTTTTTAATTGAAGGATAATTGAGTTTTAATTTTTTGTTTATTATGTTTTTAATTTCCAAAAGCTCTTTTTTTTTTTTGGTTTGTTTGCTCTTAGAATATTTCTTTTAAATGTAGCATCCTGTCTTGCTTCACAGTAGCAGTATCTTCTATGAGGTTTTTAATAACAAAGTTTTTTTTTGTTGCTGTTGTTGCTCTTTTTGGTCTCTTTTTAAGGGCTTTCTTCAGAAATCTGATAACCCCTGAATGTTTGCTCATATTTAAAAGTAGAATAAAGTAAATTGGCACTGTGAATATAGAGTTGGGAGTTCTAAGATGATCTCATAGCAGAATGATCTGGCTGGCCAATTCATTAGGGAAACCCAGTTGTGAGGAGGCTCAGATGTTTTCTCTGGGGGTGGTTAGATCCCCCAGAGCTGACTCAAGCTCATAACTTTAAGGTACACACCTGACTATCTGCATTCTTTTTTTTTTTTTTTTTACTATCTGCATTCTTAAGTACTAAATGGGAAAGCAGGCAGTCAGTATGCACACATTCATTCATTTAATCTCGCCTTTTCCAGTATGGTATTCCACCCTCAAATGTGCCTTGTATCTCCTAATCCAGAGACCATCTTTTTTTTTTCTTTTGGCCATGCTGCATGGCATGTGGGATATTAGTTCCCTGACCAGGGATAGAACCCGTACTGTCTGCATTGAAAGTGCAAAGTCTTAACCACTGGACCACCAAGAAGCCCCAGGGACCATTTTTTTGCCCTCTCCAGAGAATAACCTTTGGTTTTTGCTGTGGAGGACAAGTAGGGACCTCTGGCTTCTTAAACAGACTTTAAACCAACGTTCTTCATTTTAGCACACACCTCTCCACACTTTCTGAGCTTTTTGGGGACTCCCTGGTGTAAACAGTTTCTCAGCTTTCTCTTGTATTGGTTCAGACTTTCATTTTCTTGGGACTCCTAAGTCATTTAATAATTGCCCATCTGCTATCTAGCTTCTGACATTTGATTGCTGTTGCCTCCTTCTCTGTTTTCTCCATTCTTATATGGATTTATGCCTTAAAAAAAACCTCCTTATCATTCTTTTAGTGTTATTTCAGACGGGATTATCTTCAATCCATCATTTTTACCTAGATGCTCCTATGAGAACATTTTTGGTTTACAGGTCAAAGCTGTCCTTGGAATAACACGATCTTCAGTAAGTCAGTCCATGTACAGACATATCTTAAATAATCAGCCTATCAAGATGCATTTTTATGCAAAAGGCTTACCTATCCCTTTTTAAGAATAAGAATTTATGTTCAGTAGCTCTGGGTTCACCTGTGTGCCCCAATTGGTGCTGTCACTTACCAGTATGAGAAAAACAATCAAGTTAAGATTATTAAAATAGTGACATGTGTGAAAAGTTAAGAGACACAAGATGTTCTTAAGCATAAGGGAAAATAAAGATTCAAAATAGTCCAAAGGAAATCAGAAATAATTATTCGAGGAAGGAAAAAAGAACATAGCGCAACTCCTTCAGTCCCCACTCATAAATGGATGAGTGAGACCAATAAACAATTTGTCTTTATGTGCTAGGGCATATATCATCATAGAACGAGCTACATATGCAGTCCTCTATTCTCAAAATACTTATTTTGAAAGGCTCAGATCTTTACAGTTCCCAGACTTGACACTAAGACTTCTACCTTGACATTATTTTATGGTCTATCATGAGTGGATCAAGATTGAAGGATTCATTTCACCAGAAATTAGTATCAGAAATCATATACATATTTCTTAGTCAATTACAACAACCAGCAATCATCTCAACAAGTGATGCTTACAATGCCCCTCAGTAGAAAATCAGCACAGAGATATGCAGTTAACTGTAAGAGCAGCTCAACCTTACTGTGAGACTCCATTCTAAAGGAACCTGAGTTTCAGAAGCAAGCCAACATTCTACCAGCCAAGCTGGGAGGGCCAGGAGAAGGCAAGGAAGGCAGTAAGTACCTGCACTGATCCCCCATGGCGGTCTGCGGCCAAGTGAGACGTCAGGTATGAGGTATTGGTCTGCCGGCTCGGCTGGATTTCCCACTCTCCTCGGCGCTCTGACGATGCAGTCTGCTCAGGCATTAGGAAGCATGAGAGCAAGATATGGAAGGAAAGGTGAAGCAACAGCAAGCAATTAAAAAATCAAGTACATTAGTGTCCCTTCAGGTTTTGTTTTTGTTTTGGATTTTGAACTAACAACTGCTGCAAAGCACTGAGAAGAAGCTTGGCTACACTCATTTCAGCCTAACAAGTCAACACATAACTGTCTCTAACATACCAACCTTGCCGAGACACAGAAAAACAATAATTACCACAAGAGGAGGTTAAAAAAGAAAATCTATCAAAAGCTGGAATCATCTTTTAGTTTCCATATTAGTAAAATTTCAATAGCCACTAAACAGACCAAATTCAGAAAGTTGGGATTGCTGCACAAAGGAATAATCATACTTATATCATTTCACTGACTAAAAATCTACCTAAATAGGTAGTAATCAATACAGAAAATTCCAAGCACTAGGAATTAAGATAGTAAGTCTTTTCCTTGAATAGGGAGCCCACTACTCTCAAACTTCCAGAAGACTTTCAACTAATATAAAATGAGCAGTAGCGGGAATATGCTCTCTTCTCTAAAAGGATGAGTGAAGTCTCTCTTCAAAAGTAGGTTCAGAGGTCAAGAAGATGAAAAGATGAGGGAAGATAAGGCTACAATGTTCCTCAGATTCCTCTAGTTATCTGTCTCCAGTCTGGAACTGGAAAAAGTTTAGATAAGACTACATAAACTATTTTCTTCTAGAAAGCAAAAGGCAGATCTTTTCCCAGCAAAAGGAGGGCATTTGATTCAAAATCTCGTTGGGTTCTGCTTTCACCTTTGCTGTCTTGTCAGGCTCTCCTTATTCCCTCTTCACCTGTTTTATAGATCTCACACTATTCTAATCTTGCTCATATGTCATATCTGTTCTCAAGAATCTGTTTAGGTGCCTCTTCCCCTGTACCAGATGGCTGAGGAGGTGTTAACATTATGGTGCTCAGCTGTTAACAGTCCTAAGGCTCTACAAAAATGAAAAATGAGGAGTTGGAGAGGCAGCAATGAGGGATTAGTAAATCAAATTTTAATTGCTGCTGATAATAAACAGCAGCAGGGGCTGGGATGTGATATTGCTGCTCTGCATGAAAACTAGTAAGGATGCTATAAATATTAGAAATATTGCTATAAATGTTGTATTCTTTAAAAAAAAAATTTGGTGGGGGGGAGACTGAAATAGTAGTAGTTTGAGGTTCCATTTCACTCACCCCCTTCTGGAATTCATTGACAAAGAGTGGTTTTAAGCTCATCTACAAATCACAAAAAGGCTTTGCCCACCCCCTGCATCCCCCAAAAGGCATCATATACCAGCTGCAACTTACTCATCTTCTTAACTAATGGAATATGAAGTCACATGGGTAACAGCATTATAAAAGATGCTGGCCATGTTTTCTGATATTCCTCTATAAGAAGGCAGCTGTATTAACTTGCTTGCTATATACTCTAACAAGAGAAAAGTTTAGTTTTTTTCTGCCAATCATATTTGAGAGAATCAAAGCTACCCCCTAAAAAAAAAAAAGCTACCCCAAATATCTCCCTACCCACTCCTGCCAAGAGAGGTTCAGATGTTTCATTTCTCCAAAATAAGACTGTGATTTATAACATAATCATAATTATTTTATAAACCAATATCCATAGCCTAGAAGTGCTTAGTCTCATTTATTCTACTAGTGAAGATTTGAGACAACATCTGTTCTTCTAATATTATCAGTAATATCTATAACTAAATATCTATTAGTGATAGCCTCTTCAGTTCTCTCTAGGACTTTATCAATTTTCTTATAATATTTAAGTAGATTATAAGCTTCTAAACTACTATATAGAATTGTTTGTTCTCAAAAACTTTAAATGCTTAGAAAACATACATTTTTAAGTCATTTGGGGCTGTTTTGAGTTCTATGATACATGTTCAGTGCAATACTTCTCTCATGAAAAGTCTGTTTTGCATTTGTTTTTAGGGCAGATGAAACACATAGAAAACTCATTCTTTTAAGCTTAACAAAACCTCGGGCAGCTGGATCAGCTATTAATTCTGTTTTTCCTGAAATACATATCAGAAGTCTGATTTGATGCTACCATCTGATTCCCAGGGATATATACTTGCTTATATTCATTCTAGCTAAACAGGTAACTTGTTGAAATAATTAAGATTTTTGTCTAAATGAAAATAGCAAGACATTTTTTCAAAGGGCTTAAAGTTACACTCCATCCTCAAAGCAATGTTCTATTTGTCTTTTGAAGAGAGAAAAATAATGCTAGCATTTGACACTGCTTCGTAAATGTGACAAGTGAAGAATACATGGCTCCATTCCACTGCCCTCTGACACCTTCTATATCCACTGAAAGCAGCAAAACTAAGAGAGAGATCTGAACTCAGGGTTGTTTGTTTATTACTCTCGGAACTACTTTCACCATAATGCTAAACTCTACGGCTGTTCTTTTCTAGAATTTAAGGGTTTGGACTGGTGTATAGAAGCTGATGTAAGTAGAAGGGTTCATTTGCCAGTTTAGAAAGCAACTGAGAGCCTAGAAGCTAAATGAAACCAAAGAATGTCAACAACTACAGAATTCTACTAGTCTACCTGTCCTTGAAAGGTACTCAAGGCAATGCTGTATACACAGGAGTTAAGATAGGCATAATCAGCACAAGAGCCAGATAAATATCAAGCAAACCAGTGGAGGAGATCACCATGTAAACCCTTCATTGGTAAAAATCACTCATGCAACATGTCTATCTAATAAGCAATCAGGAGAGTCATTCAACAAAACCAATCTCTCTGCATTACTTCAAAGACAAAGGTCCATTTCAATGTATGACAAAAACCACTGCAATGTTGTAAAGTAATTAGCCTCCAACTAATAAAAATAAATGGAAAAAAAAAAAAACCACAAAGACAAAGGTCCACACGGAGTGTGTAAGTCCCCAAAGGCACCAGCAGGAAACTCAAGTAGTGGGAATTCCTTGGGGTAATGCTTTAAAATCTTCAGCTGGGATTGTATTGCCTGCGTGGAAATGCTTGGTTTACTATGTAGTAGGTGAACATGGAAACAAAAAAAAGCAGCAACCGAGCAGAGCATAAATCAAAAGCAAAGCTACAAAAAATAGTTTAGGGAAAACATGTAAGACTAGTGTAAAAAGTTGAAACCACCCCTTTGCCTAGGGCAGAGGAAGCAGCATCTTCAAACAACTTGGGAGGGATTCATGGACAGACAGTGGGGAGAATGATACTAATTGGAGGTCAAGAAAGTAAGAGTCTGAGAAAACCTCAGATGACCACCTCTGTCTACGGCTTGAAAATTATCTCAAATTTCTTTTCATGATAAAGCAATTTTTCTAAAGCAGAAGGCAGGCAAATACCTTCCTCCTGTTGTAGCGAACAAACCACCAAATCTTATTCTTTATTATATAGTTATTTTGAAAAATTAATTTTGATTCCATCTATAAAAGCATCTCATCCATTTTACTTTATGGCTCCTAAAATACTTTTAAAAGTTGCCTCCCATGTCACTCTTCTACACTTGCATTATATAATCACAGTCTTCAACTGTAATTAACAAAAATAGAGATTAAATAGTACCAAAAGGCTAGTTAATGAATACACTAGATTACATTCTGTTTTACCACACTTTCAAAGTTTTAATGCAGCATATTAAATATACTATATTATAAAAGCTCATGAACAGAACCAATTTTTCTGGATTGTTACATGCAACCTTTCAGCTGTATCAATAGTGAGTTCCTGTTTTCTACAAACTTGTTCAAATATCAGAGATATCAGAACAACATTGATAACAATCTGGAGGGGATTGTTTGCAAGCCCAATACTATACAGGCCCACAGAGACAGCGGTTTCGATTCTATGAAGTTTTGGGGAAAAAAAATCACAGAAACTATCTGAAAGGTTTGAAATTCTCTACTCACATCTCGTCTTATTCTTACTCAAAATGGCATAATACACCTTCTGTATGGAATGATGATTTATCTAGGTAGGATTACTGCAGAGTCACCTCCTACAAGGAGATGCCTCAGAACACAGGGTGTATACTGACATACAAAGTAATGAACACCACATACGACAGAAGAAAACTTTTAACATGCAATAGAGAATTAAGAGTGGAGGTGAGGGACTTCCCTGGTGGTCCAGTGGTTAAGAATCCACCTGCCAGTGGAGGGGACACAGGTTGGATCCCTGGCCTGGGAAGGGGCCACATGCTGCAGAGTAACTAAGCCTGTGTGCCACAGTACTGAGCCCAGGCTCCAGAGTCTGCAAGTTACTACTCCTGAAGCCTGCACACTCTTGGGCCTGCGAGCCACAAGCACTGAGCCCAAGCACTACAACGCGAAGCCTGTGTGCCGAGAGCCTGTGCTTCACAGCAAGAGAAGCCACCGCAGTGAGAAGTCCACGCACTGCAACTACAGAAGATGAGGACCCACCACAGCCAAAAACGAAATTAAATAAAGTATAGGCATAAATAAATAATATTAAAAACAACAAAAACAAAAAAGAATCCGCCTGCCAATGCAAGGGACATGGGTTTGATCCCTGGTCTGAGAACTAAGATCCCACACGCTGAGGGGCACCTAGGCCCTGTGCCACAACTACTAAGCCTGCAGGTGCTGTGCAACGAGAGAAACCACCACAGTGAGAAGCCCACATACTGCAACTAGAGAAAGTCTGTGAGCAGCAGCAAAGACCCAGCACAGGCACAAATAAATAGACAGACAGATAAACTACTCCAGTATGATCCTATTAAAAGAAAAACAAAAAAAAAGAGCGAGCGAGCAGAGGTAAGCAGCAGAGACTACGTCACTCAAGGGGAGATGTTAAGAAAAAGACTATTTCAGTTGTGCACTAGTTTCTTGCAATATCCTCCTTGGAGTTTATGTCCCAGCAATGAGCAGGGATGGTTCATTCTGCACTGAGCTCTGTGATGGAGGCAGGCAGGGCAAGAGTGCGGTCTCCACACCTCAGCTCCCACTGGACAA